CCTTTGAACCCCCGGTTGATAAAACTGCTCAGCTGCAAACTCAGGCCATTCTTATAGTAAAGGAATTATGATCCAGCAGGCACAAGTGAGAACTCCTGAGGGCAGAGCCGAGAGCTAGAAAACAAGCAGCAGACCTGAGCCTTAATCAGAAACAGGCAACATGCACCCAGCTGGATATCAGAGCCACAGATGGATCTATGATTGCTATGTGCCTCTTATTTTCTTCCTCTTTGGATGAGAGTATCCATGATGGTATGTCTAACCATTGTATAACTGGGTGCATGGGGTCAAGAACTTTAGTTTGCTGGTGTTTAGACTGGAGGAATGGTCCTCAATTGCTGTACCTGAGGAACTCATGAACACTTGAACCTGATTTACATAACCTGAACTGATGTCATAATGAGATGGGACTTGATGGCCTTGGAGGAGAGGAAGGGTGCATTTTGCATGTGAGACAGATGGGAAGAATCATTGCCAGAGGATAGACTGTGTTGATTGTAATTTCCAAAGATGGCCACAGTAATTTCTCTCTTTTTATGTGATCTTGACACTTTCCCATTAAGGGGTAAGGTCTACGATCCCTTTCCTTGAAATTGGACAGACATGTGACTACAGCAGAGCGGGGCTGCATTATAAATCGGGAATCAGCATGCTGTCTGGTCATAAATAGTGATAGTTTCCTGTCTTGCTCCCTTGAGATTCTTGCTCTTAAAATGCAAGCCCTTTGCTCTGAAGCCCAAGCAGCCACATGGAAAAGCCACATGTAGGTGTTCCAGTTGATTGCCCCAGCTGAAGGCCCAGCCAATAGCCAGTATTGACCACCAGACATGTGAGTGCGTAAGTCTTTGGAAGATTCCAATCTCCTGTTGTCAAGTCACCCCCAGGCTTCAAGTCTTCCCAGCTGACAGCGCAGATGGTACCACAGAGATAAGCTGTCCTTTTCTGAATTCCTAACCCACAGAATATGTGGGTATAGTAAAAAAAAAAATTGTTTTATTTTTCTCATAAGTTTTGGGTAGGCTGTATGACAGCAGTAGGGACTGAGCATTGACTACTATAGTTTGCAGTTTCACTGGGAACATACAAATGTTTTTCTGCAGTTATTCGTGTTATTCCCATTGCCTCGCAGTAGAAGGCATTTTTGAAGGTAGATGTCGGAGATCTTCCTTCCTCCCTCCCTCCATCTTTCTTTTCTTTTTCTTTTGTTCTTTCATTCTCTCTCTCTTCCTCCCTCCCTCCCTTCCTCTCTTTCTTTCTTTTTTCTCTCCCTCCCTCTCTCTTTCATTCTTTCTTCTTTCTTCCTCCCTCCCCGCTTCCTTCCTTCCTTCTTTCTTTCTTTCCCTCCCTCCCTCTCTTTCTTTCTTTCTGTCTCTCTTTTTTCTCTCTCTCTTTTTCCCTCCCTCCCTTCTCTCTCTTTCTTTCTCTTTCATTCTTTTCTTCTCTCTTCCCTCCCTCACTCCCTCCTTCTCCCTCCCTCCCTTCCTCCCTTTCTTTCTCTCTTTCCTTCTTTCTTTCTCTCCCTTCCTCCATTCCTTTCTTTTCTTTCTTCTTTCTTCCTCCCTCCCCCTCTTCCTTTCTTCTTCTTTTTTCTTTTCTTGCCTCCCTCCCTCCCTCTTTCTTCCTTTCTTTTTCTTTCTTTCTTTCTCTTTCTTTCTGTCTCTCTTTCTCTTTCCCTCCCTCCCTCCCTCCCTCCCTCCCTCCCTCCCTCCCTTCCTTCCTTCCTTCCTTCCTTCCTTCCTTCCTTCCTTCCTTCCTTCCTTCCCTCCCTCCCTTTCTGACAGAGTCTCACTCTGTCATTCAGGCTGGAGTGCAGTGGTACTCAAACTCCAAGGCTCAGGTAATCCTTACACCTCAGCCTCCCAAGTACTTGGGGGCCACAGGTGCATGTCAACATACCTAATTTTTGTATCTTTTTGGTAGAAATGGGGCTCTGTCATGTTGCTAGGCTGGTCTGGAACTCCTGAGCTCAAGCAATCTGTCTGCCTCAGCCTCACAAAGTATTGGAATTACAGTACAGGCCTGAGCCACCATGCCCGGCCAAAATCCATCATTTTTAGTAAACTGGAAGTGAGGTAGTAGGTGTGAGGGGATAAGGCTTAATGCCAGATATTGCTTGAAGAAAAAGTATTTTCAAAAATGTAACGCTGTTGGTAGACTGAATCTACTCCAAGGCCAGACTCAGAGTATACATCAAACACTGCTAAGCACCTGGGTATGGTACAAATGGGAGGGAAGAGACTAAGAATATACAGCATCGCTATTTCGTCTTTTCCTCTTGTGGCCAGCAGGCATATTTTCCACTTCAAGTTCTCAGGAAAGAATATGTGTTTCCTACATATTGACTATGGTCGGTCCCACCTGGACAGAGTTTTCACATTAAGCCACTTGATGGCCTACTAGCTAACCTATGTATTGGCCTAATAGCTAACTCCTGCCTATGGGTCAGGCATCTGCCCCATTCTAATCTATGATAGTGGTGATTGAAGCGTTTTTGAGTTGAATTGTATCCCCTCAAAATTTACATGCTGGAACCCCACATCTCAGCACTTCAGAATGCGACTATATCTGGAGATATGGCCTTTAGAAATGTGATAAGGTTAAAGTGAGGTTGTGAGCATGGACCCTAATCCATTCAGCCCAGTGTCCTTGTAAGAAGAGAAAATTTGGATACAAAAAGAGATAGCAGAGCACAGAGAGGAAAGATAGTGTGAGAACACAGCGAGGCAATGGCCATCTGTAAGCCAAGCAGAGAGGCCTCGGGAGAAACCAGGCCTGCCTACACCTTGATCTTGGACTTTCAGCCTCCAGTGCATGTGAGAAATAAATTTAAGCCATCTAGTCTATGGCATTTTGTTATGACAGCCCCAGTGAACAAATACAGGAATGCAGTGTGGCTGCTCGTTTGGTCTAATTCCCTTTAAAAGAGGGCTCTGGGTGAAGCAGACGCACAGCTTGTTCTATACCCAGATATTTCCTTCAAACTATATAATCCATTTGTAGGAAAAAGGCTAAGAGATATAAAAACCAGTATATGAAAATTAGGTATGAATGAAGTGCCACAGTATAGGATACAGAAAATTATGTGGCACAGTGTTTATGTTGTATGAATTTGGAGGAGGGAGAGCTCAATGTGAGTTATAGCAGTGAAGGTGAACCTTATGGAAATGATGGGCTGCATCATCAACCTTTTTTGTAGAGTGGGATTTAAAGCAGTGTGAGGGAGGTGAAAGGGCACTTTGGGTATGGGTAATTAGTGTGAGCAAAGCAAAGAGGTAGCACGGAGTGTGACACATGAATGATAGAAAGGCCGTTAGAGAAGTGGTAGACTAAATGTGTTGGGAACTAGTGGGAGACAACAGTGGGCATGTAGAGTGGATGGAGATTGTAGGTGACCTTGGAAATCAGGACCAGGACTTCTCATGGTTTTTAGGTGTGATCTGCTGGCAAAAGTTATCCTTTCAAATATCCCAGGATTCACCAGCAACAATAGCAATTTTTTTTCTTTGAGATGGAGTCTTGCTTTGTTGCCCAGGCTGGAGTGCAGTGGCACTGTCTTGGCTCACTGCAACATCTGCCTCCCAGGTTCAAGCAATTCTCCTGCCTCAGTCTCCTGAGTAGCTCGAATTACAGGCACACACCACCTTGCACAGCTATTCTTTGTGTGTGTGTGTGTGTGTGTGTGTGTGTGTTTAGTAGAGATGAGGTTTTGCCATGTTGGCCAGGCTGGTCTCAAACTCCTGACCTTAAGTGATCTACCTGCCTGGGCCTCCCAAAGTGCTGGGATTATAGGTGTGAGCCACCATGCCCGGCCATTTTTTTCTTTTCTTTTTTTAAAGTTACAAGCATAATAATTCATTGGTATAATATGATACCAATAATGGGTATAATAATTCATTGAGAGAACTATATGAGATAAAATATTAATATTACTATCAGAGGGGTTTCTAATTATAAGAAGAAAAATCCAGCCTGTGTGTGGGAAAACAGAATTGTTCATTCATTCAAGAAATATTTGCTGAATACTTACTGAGGGCTGCATATGGACATAGAGATGAGAAAGATATTATTTGCTCTTGGGGCTTTTGATGGACAGGGGGTTTTAGGTTGGCTGAATGTTAAGGAGGGCATTCCAGAAGAGTGAACATCTAATGACAAAGGTACAGAGGGAAGAATAAATGAAGTAGAAGATTTATTCATGGGGCAGCTGGAAGTGATGCTGCAAAAGAGAAATGAGCTATTATAGATTTAATGTGGGGCTTTACAAATAAGGCAGAGGAGTTAATCTATAAATCCCCCTTTCCAAGGCAGAAATATGAACATCATAATTTAGAAGGTATCTACCAGAAGATGATGGCATCAAAGCTTTGTCATCTGAAAAAGAAGGAGATCATGTCCTTTGCAGGAACATGGATAGAGCTGAAGGCCATTATACTCAGCAAACTAACACAGGAACAGAAAACCAAACACTGCATGTTCTCACTTATAAGTGGGAGCCAAATGATGACAGCACATGGATACATAGAGGGGAACAAAAGACACTGGGGCCCTTTGAAGGGTGAAGAGCAGGAGGAGGGAGAGGATCAAGAAAAATACCTCATGGGTACTGCGCTTAATGCCTGAGTGACGAAATAAGCTTCACAACAAACTCCTATGACACAAGTTTCCCTGTGTAACACAACAGCACTTGTATTCTTTTTATTTTAAATGAAAGTAAAAAAAAAAAGTCTTTGGCATTCTAAGAATTAACTTATTTATATCAACACACTGCCCTCAACAACCCATTAAGGTAACCAAGCTATAAAACAAACTTGGTCATCTTCTCTTAAAAAATACTTTAAAACACAAAATAGTCTTTCTTGTCAGGAATTAGAAATACTCGAGGAAAGTTGTAAAATGCTATACATATAATTAAGCATGTTGTCATTAACTTAAATTTAAAGGAGGTCATAAAAACAAAATTGATTCTTAAAATTTTTTCATGTATTTATTAACTTTTTTAGAGGCAAGGTTTCAGTCTATCAACCAGACTGGAGTTCAGAGATGCCATCATAGCTCACTGAAGCCTTGAATGCTTGGGGACAAGAGATCTTTCTCCTTCAGCCTGTTGAGTAGCTGGGACTTCAGGTATGTACCAGAATGCCTGGCTAATTTGAATTATTTTTTATTTTTATTTTGGTAGAGATGAATTTTCACTATGTTGTCCAAGCTGGTCTGGAACTCCTGACTTTAAGTGTTCCTCTTGTCTTGACCTCCCAACTTGCTGGGATTACATGAGCTAGCATGCCTAGCCTTGATATTTCTTTTTTAAAAAGGCACTTGTATTGTCTAACACCTATGGCTAGAGGATGAACATTTGGTCAAGGATCAACATTTGGCCTCTGAATATAAGTGTCTATTTAGTTAATCAAGATGGGCATCACATTTCAGGAGACTGGTGGGTTTCTTCTAGATGAAAAGGTCCTTGGAGACCCTCTATTCTAACTTTCCACATCCCAGAGAAGAGACCTGTCCATCAGAGAGCACCTGGCATCCTCCCAGATTCAGGCACTTACTCAGGGAGCAGAATTGGGCTGTTCCTGTAGCCCAGCTTGCATGGTCCAAGATGGTTGAGTTCCAAAGTTGAGCATTTAAAATATCAAATTCTGAGGGGAATTTCCTCAGAGTTTGGTGCCACAAAGTGCCCTCCTAAGAATGGACATACATATTTCCCAGCACCTCCCTTTGAAGCTCCTGGGCTGGTTATTTTTAAAAAGTACAGATTTACAGGATCCCACCTATATCTAAAGAATCAGAATCCTGGAACAGGGACTAGAAATTTGTATCTTCATAAGCATCTTCTGTGATCTTTATTTACACTCAGGTTTGACAACTGCTACCCTAGGACAAGTACAGATTTTTTGCAGTTGCTTCTGATAATCAATCCATGCCCTAACACCCTGCTGGGTCTCCCAGCTCACTCTCCTGTGGCCCTGCTTTCTATCTCTGGCTCTTCATCTTTTCAGTGCCTGAGCATTTTTCCTCTTCCTTTTCTCTCCCCTTCTCTTTGTTGCTCTTTTGTGCTTTCATTTTTTGTCTCTCTTTTCTTCTTCCTCTGTTTGTTATTTACTCTTTCCCTTGCTCCCTGCCCCACCCAGACCATTCCAAAGTGGTGCTGGGATATGGAGGAGGAGCCAAAGGCAGTGAGTTGAGCCCGGGCACTCAGAGAGCTGAGTTATGATTAGAGAATGCAGTTCAGAACACACCTGGGGAGCTCAGAGACACCGAAGTTGGACTGGAAGAACATGGAGAGTTCAGCTCAGGGCATGGGTGTGGTGGTGAGGAGAGGGGAGGGTGCAGATTTATGGCATGGGAAATTCCCTGAGGAAGTAGATCAAGGAGCCCAAGTCACCAGCAGATCAGGGCAGGGAGCCCCATAAGCACCTGTCCCCTGCCTTCCCTGTTACCTGGGTGTGGGTGAGCTAATGAGCTACTGGGAGGCAGGTGTGCACTGCTGCATAGACACTTCCCCGTACCTTCTCCTGAGCACTTACTCTAAGAAACGGTGTGTGCCTCCATTTGGCAGACTTCAGACTTTTTAAGAAAACAGTCAATATATCTTATAGATAAGGAATCTGTTTTGAAGGAATGGAGGCTTTCCAGATGTTCCTCATGCAGAGGTTCAGAAGTCAGGATTCCAACTGGGATTGTACAGACAGTGTCTCACTATGTTGCCCAAGCTGGTCTCGAACTACTGACTTCAAGCGATCCTCTTGTCTTGGCCAAAGTTGAGCCAAGTACTTTGGGAATCCTGAATTCTGTACTTGTGTCTTGGGCAAGATTGAGAAACGGTCAAAGCTTTGTCCAGTAGAACCTAACAAGCTGGTATATCAGCATTTTTACTTGTTGTGTGTGTGCACTTATACTCTGGCACAGAGTAAACACTTAGTGCATGTTGGGTATTATTTCTTATTATTAAGAAATTGTCTTGTATTTACTGTATTGCCTGTATTCATCACGATTTCCCTTTAAGGGTAGGCTATACGTTTGGCCTTTTGGGATGTCTCATAAGGAGGTCTTTGTGGAAGAACACCTGGAAGGATTATTGCAGGCAATTTCTCCCTCCCCTGGAGAGCGTAGATGCCATCCTGTTGGGTGCGGGCTGGGTTCTTAGGAGGCCCAGGAAGTGCCATTGCTCCTAAATGCTCTGTTTGGCTGTTCCCTGCACCTGTTGCAGGAGGTGTGACACATTTCATAAGCTTCAGGGGGCAGGATGACACCTGGAGGAGCTGCTAAAGGGTCCTCACTTGGGAGCTCTCCTTTGCCTGGTACTCCCACCCTTGAACAGTGCTGTCTGTGAGGAGGTACATCAATGAATGGGCATCGTAGTGCCTGAGGCCTGAACTTGGGGTGACTTTCCTTTCTTCTTGGTCTAAATAAGGCAGAAACCAACTTCATTTCCTTATTTCCTTTCCTTGAATTCACAGTATTCCCCCCATCCCAGATGGCTGTATTCTTTAAGGCTGGGACTGCCCTGGGAGTAGGGGCTGCTGTGTTGTCTCTGCTCCACCTTCCAGGGCAGGGAATTTTACTAGGCATTTCTTGCAGTTGCTGTCTCTGAATTTGAGTCTGAGTTTCCTGATCCTTTGCAAGCTGCCTTTTAGAATCAGAGGGTATGTGGCCTTAGCAAATCCTGAGACCCATCCTCTCCTTCTACTATCCTCCACCACTACTCAGCATCACTCATCACCCCTTGCGCTTCTGTCCCTGCTTGCTTTTCTTCATGCTCTCTTGTCTACTTGAAATATTCTTGTTCACTTTCTTTTCTGTTCATCTTCCAGTCAAGGCCCAGCTCAGAATAAATTTCAGAAGCTTTCCTTGCCTCCCTCTGCTTGGTGCCCTCTCCATCCCAGTGGAAAGAACCTGCCTACCCTCTGTGTTTCTGCTGCCCTGTGCACACACCCCTGTGACTGCACTTCTCCTATTGCCTCATTAGGTGTTTATACCTGTGCCTCCCCCAGGTAGGACAGGGGAGGATTGAATGAGAGAGCCCCACAGGTCTTTTAATGGTGTCCCCAAGGCCAACCTCAGGGTTTCAACACAGTGAGCTCTCAGGAAAGGAATGGCTGCATTTTATTCTGACTGTGTTTCCAGAATCCTAGTCCTCCTCTCTCACTGACCCTGAAGATAAACACTGGAAAGGGGAGCTTTGGGCAAATTCCTCTGCCTTGTCATCTGCATAGAGAGCCAAACTTAAATCTCTACTGCCAATTGGATCCTGAGGTGTCAGAAACTCTCCTGAGATAAAGGGGCTTCTAGTGACCAGCATCATTCTGGACCCAGCTGCATTGTGTTTGTAATCTCATTCATTCACTCATTCACTATTCCAGGCCTCCCCGATCACCCTTCCTAAAGTAAGATCCCTCTGTTGATGTTGATGAAATAACACTGTTTATTTTCTTCAACTGAGAGTCTAACACACTGTGCCTTGGGCAAGGTTGAGAATCGGTCAAAGCTTGTCTTGTTTGTCGAAAATAATCTAATAAATGGGTGTATAAGCACTTGTACTTTGTGTAGGTGTGTGGGTGTGGACACTGATATTCTGGCACAGAGTGAGCACTCCGCAATAGTAATCTATAATTATTTCTCTACTACTAATAGATTATGATCTATAATGACTTAATAATCTACAATGATAATAACCTATAATTATAATTATCTGCAATTATTTATCTCGATACTGTCTCTCTCACCCCTATTAGGAGACCGACTCCATGAGGCCAGAGCTTCATACTGTCAGCTCTTTTTGCTCTTGTACCTTTAGCACCAAGTACAGTCCCTGGTCCAATATTTGTGGCATGAATAAATGAATGACGAGACATTCACTGTACTATGTATCTGCATGTCAGACTCGGGGTTAGGGACAGGAGATACAAAAGGAATAAGACATAGCTCTTATCTTTCAATAGCCTCACTTGCCAGTGGGGGAGGCAGGTTACAGTTACAGTGCACAGTGATAACTAATGGCATAGCAGGACACACGGGTTACAACAGGAAGGAGGACCAGTTCAGACTAATGAGGAGGTAGATGTCAGGGAAGTTTGATATTTGGATTGAGTCCTGAAAAGAGAGGAAAAGCTGGCCAGGCTAATGAGGTTGGCAAGGACATTCTAGGGAGTTGAGGCCATGTGTACAAAAGCCCAGAGGGGAGAGAATGGAAGACGAAAGGGTGTGTGGCAATAGCTGGAGCCTGGTGTGCAAGGGAGCCCTGGGAGGAACTGGCCTCTTGGCAGGGCATTTGGCTGTCCCTGCATGGTTGAGTGCTAGGGCTTTATTTCCTCTGGCTCCAGGCCAGCATGCAGACCTCAAGGTGGAGAGCAGCCTGACACAAGAAAGTAAAATGTTGCATCCCTGGATGACCCAAGTTCCTGGCTCCACATGTCCCTTTCTGTTTGCATTATTCTGGAGAGACAGAGGAGAGACAGGGTTTTGGGTGATCCTGCCCAGTGACCTCTGGGTTGAGAAGTGCAGAGGGCACCGGGCTCTCTCCGTAGGGGGAAATGCTCTGAGAAAGCCTTTTAGAGAAGGGCTATGGCTGCTGTTTTGAGAACTGTGCTGTTAGCAGCAGGAGTAGGAGAAAGGGAGAAGGACATAGGAACTTCGGGAAGCGCCTTTTCAATTCTCTGCGGGTCCCCTTAGCTAGTGCCTTCAGAGGTTTGGGATGCCAGGGAGTCAGGGTGATAGCCAGCATGGCTTGTCCTCTTCCTCCTTTTCTTCCTACTTTCTTCTTCTAATTAATGCTTATAGAAGCATTAATTGCTGTTGCATGCAGGGCACTGTTCCAATCATGGAATAGGTGAGATTAAGCAAAGCAGTCAAAGTCCACTGCTTTTTGGGATCAGGGATCAGGGATGGCCTCACTGAAGAAGGGACATTTGAACAGAAACATGAATGAATCAAGGGAGACCCTGTGGGTCTCTGGGCAAAGTGTGCAACTGTTAAATGAAGGTGTCGCACTCTAAGCAGGTATCTGGTTTAGTAGGCGGAACATTGCTGAAAATAATCTCCCATTCCATGAGTGACAGGGAAATCTAATAGGGTGGGGCTAAGAGTTAGAGAAAATAATTGAGCACTTTTCTCTTTTCGCA